ACATCACCTAATATGCTTAATTGGTAGTAGGCTTTTGAGCCTATACAGCTTGGAGTAAGACAACATGCATGAAGAGGATGATGTGGACAAAATACTCATTGCCTAATAATTCTGCACTCCCTGTAATGCATGTTTGTGTTTGTGTGTACATAGGTCTACTCCATGCAGGGGACCGGATCATAGAGGTGAACGGTTTTCCTGTGGATGGGATGGAGCCTGAGCAAGTTATCCAAGTTGTGGTGGGTCATTTGTTCATCAAATAAAATGTGCTCTTGCTGTTGTGTATTGTTTGCATCCAACATTGGTTCTGTTCATGCTCCATTTTGTTTTCTTACAACCAATCAGCAAGCTCGGTCGCATGGCACCATTATGTTTAAAGTCATTCCCATCACAGAAAGGCCGGTCCACAACCAGACCATGGTGAGTCTTTTACCACAGCTCCATTATTATTGCCTCTGTTCACATAAAAAATATTCACCCCTATTTTGTGTGTTTCTCTTTGCTAGCTATACGTACGGGCCATGACTGACTACAGCCCTCAGCAGGACCCGGCCATCCCTTGCGCCGATGCCGGCATGAGCTTCAGAAGAGGCGACATCCTGGAGATTGTGGACCAGACAGATGCCCTCTGGTGGCAGGCAAAGAAACTACCCAGCAGCACAGCATGTGCTGGCCTCATCCCCTCCACCAACCTCCTCAAACGGTCAGATATGGTTCTTTTAAGCATGCTCTTCCAATCTTGGACTGCATGTAATAGGCTTTTATTTTGCTGTTTGGTCATTTTTATGGGTAAGGTGTTAAAATGCCCTGATTCATTCAATTCCATCTCCTAAAAGTCATCTTTAATTCAGTTCAATTCAATTTAACAGTATTGAGATACAAATTAATTAAACTGAACTGATTAAAAGAAGAAGAAAGAAAACCTGTGAGCAAGCACTTGGCAACAGTGGGGACAAAAAACTCCCTTTAAAAAGGAAGAAACCTCCAGCAGATCCAGGCTCAGAGAGGAGCGGCCATCTGCCGCAACCAGTTGATGGGTTGCAGAATGGAGCTGAGGACAAATTTATATACAACTAACATACTATAATATCTGCTTATTTTTCTTTTCATTTTCCTTTTGGGGCTTTTCCTCTGACATATTCTGACTTTGGCCCTTAAGAGCTACTAGTTTGGTAACACTGGCCTCTTCAGCTTGTTTTTCTTGAATTGACTGCTGCACTGTCTCATTTCAGGCCTGAGGATTTTCTAATTTAGTAAAACTGACCTCTTTTTCTTGCTATTATATGTCCAGACATGATCGAAATGTTGTGATGCTTACCAGGTCTTTAAAATGAGATAAATACAAGTTCAGATAAAGCATGAAATATGACATAAATATTACACTGTGTGTTTATTTGTTTAACAGAAATTCAAGCCAAAATAGAGAAGCTGTGTGTGAAAAACTAAGTACAGTCTACTGCTTCCATAATTAGGAGGGTAATTAGCACCCAGGTGCTATTAATCAAATACAATTGCTTTAACTGATCTTCCCCAAGTATGAGCACCTCTTTGAAAGCAGAAATGTTGGCAGTTTGCCGGTCTGGAGAATTCAGTTATGTGATGTGTTTTTTTGCTGGGATGTCAACTCTTGGTAAGATTGTGGTCCTGGGCACATTGCAGTGATTGACCATGACTTCCTCTGTATATCAAAGTATTCTAGAATCAAATGTGAGGGCATCTGTCTGACAGCTGAAGCTTGGCTGAAACTGATCATGCAACAAGACCAGATGACTCTCTGTTATGTCCTACAATGTATAACCTCAGAAGTGCAACAGCATGTCCTTTATCAGGTTAGGATTACATGAAAAAACAAAATTCATATTTGGCTTATTCAAGGATGGCCATGTCTGCATGAACAAGTGATAAAAGTGAGACTTTAAATAATAATGAAATGCTCTTCCACTGGGTTTAAAGCTTTAAATATCTGATTTAGATTTTGTTGTTTGACATATCCAGATGACTAGATGGATGGAGCTTATCAGCTAATGCTTAAGGCTAGCTGGCTAGCAGTAATATTTGTGATCCCAGTTTGGGTTAAAGCAAAGTATACTGAGCAGCCAACTCTTTATAGTAACCTCTAGTACAATCAAATGCTGAGCAAGGAATCTGAACTGAATCAGACTGAAAAGGGACATGTATTGAATGTATTCAGTGAGACTTAAAACGAGTAATTTAGATCATTTGCTCCTCAGGAAATTGTTTCCTGGAGTCATAAATGAAGTGAAAAATCAAATATAATGTGAATATATATACATA